GCCCCCCTTCCCCAAACTCACAGGAGACATTGAGCCAGATGGTTCTTTCCAGGGTGGCCTGAGCTCCTGGCAGTTTCACCTGACAGGTGAGGTTGGTGCCATGGTCCTGCGGCCTCTGGGTGAAGCCCAGCACCGACGAGTGCAGGGTGTTGGGGTCCAGCGAGTCCAGAGCAGCCCCCGCCCAGGAGAATGTGAGAGGCCTTCCCCCTTCGCAGGACCCCGGCAGGCTGCAGGTCAGCTGTGCGGGCCTGCCAGACTCCAGGGGCTCCGGGACGTGGATGTCTGGTTCCTGTGTCAGATCTGAGGAGGAAGAGAGGGAGGTGCCTGGGCCCCAGGGGGTGATGACCCTCAGTGCGACCCTGAGAGGCACAGGACCATGGGGCCCAAGCTGACCCTGGGCCTGTATCTTTTTCAACAGTCCCAGCCCCAAGACCTGGAGCAGGGAATGTTCTAGAGTCCTGGCCTGCTCTAAGAGGGGGTGTCCACCCCCAGAGCCCTCTCCCGGGACCCCTGCCATACCTGTCACCTTCACAGTCAGCGGCATATCTCTGTAAGTGTATTTCACGTCCTCTCCTCTCTCCACTCGGAAGTAGTAGACTCCCTCGTCGCTCCTCCGGGCCTCTCTGATTCTCAGGGAGCAGTCGCCTGTCCTGGGGTCCCCTGTGAGCTGGAATCGGCCCTTGGTGTCTGTCTTCACTGGTCTCCCTGGGTTGTTTGTAGCCGCTGGATGACTGTTGCTTGAGGTGTCCCAACCCCGGAACCAGTATACTTAGAGCATCTTCCTGGAAGACCCAGTTCTCCAGGGGTAGGAGAAGGAGCAGCTCACGTGGACACACAGACCCTCCTGCACCGTCACGGGTTCCTGCACTCGCAGCTGGATCCCTGGATCCTCCTGTGGGGACCCTGAGGATCATGGAGGCTCAGCCGGGGCTCAAGCCCCCTCCCCCCTGAGCCCAGCCGTCCTGCCTCGGCCCACTCACCCCCCCACAGCAGGAGCAGCAGCAGCAGAGGCACCATGTCCGCAGGGACCAGGGCAGGAGCCCGGATCCAGGTCCGTCTGTCAGGGAGGGAAATGTGCTAATGTGGGGGAGGCCACGGGAGCCCCAACAGGAAGCCGTGTGTGACAGAGCTGTGGTCACCTCGGAAGGGGAACTTGGGCGGCACAGGCCCTGGCGGGGGAGGGGCGCTGAGGTGGGGCTGAGAAACTATCTTGTCTCATCTCTGCCTGTGACACAGCCCGTGAAAGTAAAGAGGGCCCTGGAGGCCGGGGTGCTCGTCCAAGTGAGTCTGACAGTGATCCCCTTGCAAATGACATTGAAGTCCAGAGTGAGGTGAGCACAGGGCGAGAGCAGCTGGAAAGGAGAGACAGGGAGCATGTGGGCAGCTCAGCCCCTTCCCCTCCAGCCCCTTCTCTTCCCAGTTCCCCGTGAGCCTGAGCAACCACGCTGGGCTGATTCCGGGCGTTCGTGCAGGCCCCGTGGGGTTGAGGCCCTCATCATGCCCTCCAGCCCCTACACCAGACCTGGGGCCCTCTGAGCCCCAGCTGCGGGGCTCCACAGCAACCTCCAGCCGATCCGCACAGCCACTGCTCACATAAAGAATTCGCTGAGCCTACCAGGAAGTCAGCAGGACTCAAGCATCCAGAGGAAAATCTGCAACAGGTGCAATATTCCCCGAATCACCTTGCCCAGGAAAGAAATGAATTACAGAACTGGAGCTTCTGGAAAGAACAAACAACGCCTCCTGAATGACTTCTCTGGGGCCTTGAAGGATTTCCAGGCTGGGCGGGTGAGTATCTGCTAACGAAAAGGAGAGGGTTGCCAGAGAGAGAGCTGCATCCTCCTCTCTGCGGAGGGGAGGCCAAGAGAGAGCAGCTCCTGTCCTATGCTGGCCATGACCAGTGGGACTGGATATAGAACCAGGGGCATGACGCGGCCACCCCGGAGCAGGATCTGGAACTTACTCAAGAGAGCGAAAGGGCAATTCGGCAGCTGCAGGCTGACATTTTGGATGTCCCTCAGATGTCTCAAGACTTGGCCTTGATGATCCATGAAGGAGACCCAAGTGACAGCTCGGAAGCCAACGTAGAAAGCTCAGAGCAGAGGTACATGCAGAGAGAGCTACACTGGTCAGAATCCGCACCCAAGCTGCTTAGGATCAGAAAAGAAAATCTCGCAAGAACGTCTGTATGCTGATGCTTGTTCTGTTCCTTATACTTACCCTTGGTACTTAGTATCTGGCAGATCTTTACATGAAGCAAATGTCTCAGATCTACCCTCTGCTGAGCTGTAGGGGTCCTTTTGGAACAGACAGAGCCTCAGGAAGAGAGCATAAACTGGAATGTCTTGTCCTAATTGAGTTAGAAACAAACTACCAACTAGACAGTGTGTATCAATTTACACACACATTCTCTTGATTTCTCAAATTGGGAGTTAAGGTACGTGTATTTTGCTTGCTCTTGTATTCTGATTGCCCTTCATCCTAAGTGCTTACTGGAACTTCTGTTGTAGACATTCCTGTCTTGACAGGTGACACTAGAATCTTGAAATACCATCTTTTGAGCGTAAATGAGGTTCATCTTTTTACTAACAACTGAGTTAGAATTCCTCTTTGGCACCTAGGATATTGGAGTCTGTCAGAAACTATGTAATAAGACAGCACTCTTTATTATGGAATCTTCTCATTTGAATTTCTTTAAAAAATGTTTTTTATCTTTGCTTATTCTTGAGAAAGAGGCGGTGCGAGCAGGGGAGGAGCACAGAGAGAGAGGGGAACAGAATCTGAGGTAGGTTCCAGGCTCCAAGTTGTCAACACAGAGCCCGACGCGGGGCTCGAACCCACGGACCGCGAGATCATGACTTGAGCTAAGTCACATGCTCAACAGACCTAGCCCTCCAGGTGCCCCCTCATTTGAATTCCTAAGAAGTATCTTTTTCTGCTTCGAGAGATTTCTAGCAATGTGCTTAACTGGAAAGCAATACAATTGCACCGTGATCCAGATTCAGATTTTCCACTGGAGCTGTCCAGTTGTCAGGGGTACGTGTTATTCTGGGTTTTAAGTCTTCTTTTTTAAAAAAAAAAAAAAGTTTATTTCTTTTTTTGAGAGAATGCGAGTGGGCACACAGGCAGGGGAGGGGCAGAGAGAGAGACTCCCAAGCAGGCTTCCCTGTCAGCTCAGAGTGGAAGCTGGGCTCCATCTCACAAACCTTGGGATCATGAGCTGAGCTGAGATCAATAGTCGGTCGCTTCACCAACTGAGCCACCCAGGCGCCCCTGAAGTTTTCTTTCTTATGTGCTGGTGTCCACAGCAGCTCATCCTTGCGCACACTACACTGTCTCCTTCACTTTTTGAAGTGGTGCATTTGATTAGCACTAAATTTCCCTTGAGGCACCACACTGTGGTCCGTCTGAAGGTCGGGCACCAGCATTAGAACAAAGCCCTCCAGGTATGTTTGACAAACGTAGACTAGAAGATCATCCCCGTTTTCTAGAATCGGAGGAAATTGCCAGCACTCACTGCCAGGATCCTCTTTTCCCTAGAAACCCCTATCCCATCACCGCTTAGCCTTCTCCATTCTTACCTCCATCTTCTTGTGGCGATCGGTTTCTTCTTCCAAAGCACATCTAGGGAGTGTGTGTGCTAAGTATTCTGATGCACCTTGGGCTTCCAGAATGGAGGAAACCCTCCTCTGCTATAAAGCAGGGCAGAGTCTGGTTAATGTAAAATCCAGGGAGCCAGACTGAGGGGGCAGATGGATCCGAAGGAGCACGTCCGCCACTGGAGGCAGGAAATAGGTGCTGGAGGACTAGGGGGTATTTTGTGGGAGGGTTTCTGTTTTCCAGTGAACACTGGAGTCGATGCCAGTCTCCCTTGGCACTGGAGATCCAGTGAACAAACGCATGTGGCTTCTCTCACGCAGCCTGCAATTCAGTAACGCGAGATGAAAGAACCCGAGATGATCTCGCGTAGACTTCGTCTGGAACAGGGCTCTGGAATGAGGGCATATTGGCCAAATCCGGCAGCCACCGTATGCGAAGGCTTACTTACCCGTCTGGTTGTGATGTATGGCTGCTTCTGTGTTACAGTAAGAGTTGAAAACCCGTATGCAGAGTCGCTGTGGCTGAAAACACTTGCCCTGGCCCTTTAAGGAAAAGTTCGCTAAACTCTGAGAGAAAGTCAGATGAGGAAGTGGTGAGCCATGAGGGAGAGGGGAGGGCATCTTCTGAGAGAGGTCCGTCAAGGAACCCATGGTGTGAAGGTGACATTTGAGCACAGACCTAAAAAAAAAACCAACCACCCTCTGGGGTTCACTTGCCTCGGTCTAGATAGAAAAGGGGGATTTAGACAAAACATGCTTTACAAAGACAAATAGCAATGGAGTGCAGTGATTTCACCTTATTGTTGTTCGCCTGTGGTTGTGTGGTCGTGGGGAACAGTGAGTACTGCCTTCGCCATGAAAAGGCCGCCCCTTTCCCCTGTAAGGGTTGTTGGGCCTTCTATGGCATCAAGATTGTAAAAGCTATGTGGAGGCGGCTTAGAAGTTAGTCCTTGTGGGGCGCCTGGGTGGCTCTTTCCGTTAAGCATCTGACTCCTGATTTGGGCTCCGGGCATGATCCCAGGGTGGTGGGATGGAGCCCCACTTCACGTTGAGCATGGAGTCTGCTTGAGATTTTCTGTCTCCCTCTCTCTCTCTCCCTCGGCCACTCCCCCCTGATCGTGTTCTCTCTGTAAAAATTAAGTGCTCTCTCATAGTAAGAAATATGTTTTAAAAGGGGAAAGTCCTGGAGGTTCAGTGTGACTCACCCTCTAGCTGAAAACCACTGAACATTCTGGAATTGGATCACTTACCATTTCCTTAAATCCATTCAAGTGCAGGCGCGCATGTGGGGCTCTGTCGGTTAAGTGTCCACCTGCGGCTCAGGTCACGATCTCGTGGTTTGTGGGTTTGAGCCCCGCGTCAGGCTCTGTGCTGACAGCTCAGAGCCTGGAGCCTGCTTCAGAGTCTGTGTCTCCCTCTCTCTCTCTCTCTCTCTCTCTCTGCTCTTGCCCTGCCCACACTCTGTCTCTCTCTCAAAAATAAATAAACATTAAAAAAATTAAAACAAAAACACAAACCATTCAAGTGGATGTGGAAAAGAGAGAACTGTCGTGCCCTGCTGGTGGGAATGTAAGTTGGTGCAGCCACTCTGAGAAACAGTTCTGAGGTTCCTCAAGAAATTAAAACCGGAACTACCATATGATCCAGCAATAGGCTTCTGGTATATATGTGAAGGAAATGAAAGCACTCTCTCAAAAGATATATGCACCTGTGTGTTCCTTGCAGCAGTATTTACAATAGGCAAGATATGGGTCCCCTGGGTGACTCAGTAGGCTAAGCGTCTGACTTTGGCTCACGTCATGATCTCAAAGTTTGAGAGTTCAAACGCCTTCATTGGGCTCTGTGCTCACAGAGCTGGGAGCCTGCTTCGCATTCTGTGTCTCCCTCTCTCTCTCTGCTCCTCCCCTGCTCATGCACTGTCTCTCTGTCTCTCAGAAATAAATAAATGGTAAAAAACACTTTGTAAGGATCCTCGGTGGCTTCGTCATTAAGCTTCTGACTTCAGCTCAGTTCATGATCTCAGGGTTTGCGAGTTCAAGTCCCACATCAGGTGAGTGTGGGCCCCATTTCTCTTTCTCTCTCTCTCTGCCCACTCTCTGCCCTTGGTGGCATTCTCTGTCTCACCCTCCTCTCTCTGTCTTCCCCTTGCTCTCTTGCACCTTCTCTCTCTCAGAAAAAGAAATGAAAACATTGCACTTCAAAATATTTTAAAAATATGTAAGTAAATTGAAAAAGATGTTGTGTCAATGGGTTTAAAACAATATTGTATAAAAGTCACCTCTACCTAAGTTAATATGCAGCATCAGAGCAATATATCAACCAATCCCCGGGTGATTTTTGTGGAACTTGACAACTTGTTATCAAATTTGTATGGAAGTAGGGAACCTTAGCTGACTGAGTCAGTAGAGCATGCCACTCTTCATCTCGGGATATGAGTCTGAGCCACACAAGGAATGTAGAAAATACTGAAAAATAAAATATCTTTAGAGGCACCTGGGTGGCTCAGTAACTGAAGTGTTGACTCTTGATTTGGCTCCAGTCATGATCTCGCAGTTCGTAGGTTCGAGCCCCACATCGGGCTCTGGGTTCAAAGTGTGAAGACTGCCTGGGATTCTCTCTCTCCTCCACCTCTGGGTGCACACGCTCTCTCTCTCCAAATAAATAAACGTTTAAAAAAAATAAAATGCTGAGACCTAAGTCAGACTTCTGACTAAGAGTCATTAAAAAACAAAGCATCTGCACACACCGGGGTGGGGGCTAACGTGGAAAAGCCTGATTTTCTCTAGTGTTGGAGGGAGTGCAGAGGAGTCAGACATCTT